GTCAAGGTCATACGCGTTGCCTTCGTCGTCGACGTAGGCGTCGCCGTCGCCGTTGCCGTTGTCATATCCGCAGTCGTTGCAGTCGACATCAGTTTTGACATTGAATTCTTTGTGGCTGCCGTCGGTATCGGCATCGTCATGCCCATACGCGCCGCCTTCGTTGTCGACGTAAGCGTCGCCTTCGCTTTCGCCGTCGCCTTCACCATATCCGTAGTCGTCGGAGTCGACGTCGGAGTAGTCGTCGTCAGTGCCTTCGACATAAAATTCGCAATCGCCGCCCTTGTTGATGTAGAAATCGCTTTCGGCGCCATATTCGCCATCTTCGTCGGTGTCGGCATCTGCATGGCCGTTTTGGTTGTCTTCACCGTAGACGTTAACATCAACGTCGGCAGCGTCGCTGTCGTCACTGACGTGATGGACTGCATAGCCGTGGTCGCCGTAGTCACCAGTGCCTCTGGCATTTCAATCTTTATTGGCCAACCGGTTGCCGTCCTCGTCGACGATTTCGGCATCTTCGTCGTCGCCGTTGACGTCATCGTCGACGTTAGACTCGCAATCGCCGTTGCTGCCAGCAACGTCGTCTGTCTTGCCGTGACCACCTTGGAGCGTGGACTCGCTGTGTCAGTGTGCCTGACGGCACCGGTTACGTCAACACCAACGTCAACGTCAACGCCAATGTCGACGTCGACGTTGCCTTGCGACGAGGCAAGTGAGGCAGTATGGCAGGGAGAAGCAAAGCTGGCGCGTCTCGAGCCGTCCGACAATGTGGACAGACTGTGGCCTCGAATCCCGTCGGCCGGGGCCCTTCGCGACCGGAAGTCGGTACGTCTACTCGCTTCCCATTGGACAGCCTGACACGAGCCAACCTGCTCGTCTTCACCACCTTTGCGTGAACTCTGAACTCGAGTCGGACTCGTCACGAGCTCGTCCCGCGGACAGTTCGAATCTGCCGTCACGTCACACGGCCAGACCTGTTCGCCGTCGCCGTTGGCGTCGCCGTTGGCGTCGGCGTCGTTCGGGCCAGAGCGTGAAGCGGCGAGGAGGCGTGAGTTGGTGCGAATGCGGCGCACTCTGCGCAGTTTGCAGATGATGAGAGTGTTGGCGGCCAACATCAAACAGAACGGCAACAGACAGACGAGAATGAGGTCGAGCAGCGGCACGAACCGGCGCGCCGTCAGACTGGCCGAACACTTCAACTGGACGTGGGTCGCGTTGCCGGCCAAGTGCAGTTGGTCCGCGGGGTCAGTTGGTACCGAAGCGGCGTAGGTCATGGTCCAAATGAAGTGTGAATGCAGCAGCAAGAGACTCGAGCTGAGGCCGCCGACGACGCGCCAAGCGATGCGTCGAGTGCAGATCTTCTTCGCTCTGAACGGCAACACGGTCCAGATCATGCGATCCAACGAGACGGCCACCAACAGCCAGACGGACAGATGCGAGATGCTGTAGGCGAGGATGGGCGAAAGACGACACCAAACGGGCCAATTGTGTCGCAGATCGGCCACTCGCGGTTGGATGAAAGCGGCCAACTTGCTGGTCACGCTGGTGCAAAGGTAGGCAATGTCGACGACGGCCAAGACGGTGAGGTAGAGCGCTGTACCACCGCGACTCATCGGACCCGGCTTCGTCAACACTCGAATGGTCAACAGGTTGCCCGTCACTCCGAAGCAGATGATGCCCACCCAGACGGGGATGAGCAGCGCGCGGATCAGACCCACGCCGCCCGGCCATTGGCTGACCGACGGCGACGGCGACGGCGACGGCGATGGTGACGGTGACGGCGAGGATGCGATCGTCGACGAGGCGAGGACGGGAAGCGTGGAAAGGTTGACAAATTGGATGGGCGAGACGATCTTTTTGGCACGAAAGAGACCAGACGACTGGACGTCAGCCGCGAGACGAGCCAAATGGAGCAACAGCGACACATTCAACCGCGTCAGACGAAAGATCATCCCGACGGGACCAACCGGATCGGACAGGCTGCAGAAGGAACTGATGACGTCGGCTCGAGCATGTGAATAGGGCGGCAGTAGCGCCTCTGGCCCAACGGCCAGACGACATCGGATCAGTCGGTAGCACGGTTGCCGTGGCGACGAACAGAAATGCAGTCAGGTCGTCAAGATGACAACAGCCTCGACAGGCCCCTCGTAATGCATCACTTTGACACACCTCGTACTTCTGTGTGTGTATGCTTGTGTGTGTGTGTGCGTGTGTGTTTGGGTGTTGGTGTTAGGTCGTCCTGCATGCGTGTTGACATGGGCTTCTGTGGCAGTGGATGTAGGAGAATGGGTAAAATGAAATGAAAAAAATGAAAAAAATGAAAAAATTTACCCCAATAAGAATTATGATAAAGTCCACTTTGCATTTACATACTTACGGAAGGGTGTGAGGATTGTGTTTGTGAAGTGTGAATTTGCAATTGACGCAACATCAGGGCAGATCTAACATCTTAATGCAACATTTTGACGCTGACCTTTTGAAAGAGGCTTAGGAGTGATAAATGCCAGTTTTATTGCAATAAACGGTTTCCGGTTTTCATCAGTTCCCTCCGAAGTGGAGCATCGAGTCACTCTAAAAACGGGTTTTGTCATGCATCCCAACAGATCGTCATTACCTGTCACATTAGTTGTTTTTTACTACTTAAATGTTGTTAGTAGCCATCGGTTTCAAAGATAAAGTAACCAGTGTTTACACACACTTTTCATCAAGCACAAATGTCTACTATAAAATAAAAACAATCCGCTATTTTTATCAGCAAATGATAGGCATTCTGAAGTGAAAAAGTGAAAACTCTACTAATCTGTGAAATGTGTGAATAAATGCCATTTGATGTAACAACACACATTTTGGAGGTGATTTTATAGGAAGCACACAAAAGCGTCTAACGTCTCGTTGGGTGAATAGTTCCAAATAAAGCTGTACTTTTGTGAGGCTTTAGCCATTTCAGCTTCAGAACAGCCTCATTTGCGGGCTCTGGTAAATTCATCTGAGAAAGTATGCACAAGAGCATAACAAAGTGTAAAAATAACTATAGAATGTGGCGTTTTAGTCATGCCTACCTCAGACTTCGATACAAAATCACAAAAGTGATCACAACACATCCCAACTCAGACGGACACTTCAACGTGACTGTCATCTGCACCTTCAAGTTGATTTCTGCCAATCAACATCGCGATGATACAATTAGCCAACATTTGTCCCAAATGATAACGGTTCGCTGTTGTGTCAAATAATAGTGAGTGAGAAGATTTTTCATTTTTAATTTACGCGCAAAATGTCGCAGGCCACACTGGACAGCCTCGACAGCTCCCTCGTAATGCATCAATTTGAAACACTTTGTACTTCTGTATGTGTATGCTTGTGTGTGTGTGTGTGTGTGTAGGTATAGGTGTGATGTCAGCTTATATCCTGACAACTGGAAAATCGGACATAGATACGATGAAGATGCGCCGACGACAGCGGAAATGGAAGCAAAGACAACGGTGTGACGATGGCTGCTAACAAAATTTCGGTATCAAAAAACAACCAATGTGCAATGCAATGACAGTTTTTGCTATATTACAAATAATAATAGTAGTAATGCTTTAATCAATCAAGCGACAAAAGCCTATGTCAAATGAAGTGAAGACAACAAAGGATGCTTGCCGTTAACTTGATTTGTTAAAACTAATAGCAAAACATTATTTGTTGACCTAATAGATAATATACTACTAACAGCAAACAAGTAGTAATTGTGTTGCTAAAAGAGGCATCATAGCGAGGCAAAAAGGTCGAGGGAATCGAGCTCCTGGCCTGTAGGACTTGTAGATTGACGCTATTTAATTCGGTTAAGGTGATGAAGGACAGGAACAATACTTAATTCGAAAAATAAACAATAGTATTCGATTGTTATAGCAAAACAAACGTTTTTTTCATCGACAATTCCACCAAAAAAGACTATGATATGGTCTTTCCTGAAAAGTTACATCAGCGTCGAGTGGTTAATGTGCCAAACTCACATTCTGCACTGTCACGGTTCGACTCCCGCTGAGGGTGTTGATAAGACCGAGGCGAGGATGAGAACAGATTTTGGGAAATTCAATCGAAACGTCAGCTCAACTCATATCATTGTGGGAAAATTATTCTTCTCCCAGCTCTTCATCACCTTAAACGAAATTGCGTGAATACATCTCATACTACTGATTTACTGGTAGTCACAAAAACAGTATTTAATTGG